GGAACAGCAGCTTCACAAACGTGTTAACAGTACTCAAAGTCAAGTAATACTCCAGTCTCGGCATTTATTCACCACTTTTCCTTTCCATTTCGCCATCAAATCAACATGATCTTGATTTGACTTTGTACATTTCATAGTCAAAAGCAACGGAATAAACACTACCTGTCTGAACCCTATGGAGCCTGTTGAATTCTCGAACAATACATACCAAATCTATTCCACCATAATCGTATAAAAATCAACTTGTCCTGAAACTCACCTCATAATGATCCTTGTTAAGATCACCATGGCATCTCTCAACAATCTCCTACAAGATGTTTTAATGAAATATTTCTTCCAGTATACCGATTCTCAGAGTTTTTGGTCAGAGAACGACAATCGGCACGTTCGCAATTTCTGCAAATCGGTCAAACTATATGCGCCTATTTCTCAGAAACTTATCGCAGGATAATTTTGGTTCCTTGAGAAGTTTTGTTCGGGAAGGCAAGAAATATATCATACTGAATTTTTAGACAATTTGAACGGAACTCCTTTTCTATATGTTTTGTGCGTGGACCTTTATGTTATGATTATTGACCAGGTAGGATAAGCTCGGGGAAAAAAACAAAAAAGTCCCTTTTTAGGGATAAATGTAACGCTTTCCAAAGATCAAAAATATGCATAGAAAAATTTCCAAAAATTGAGAAACTGGCAGGGCCCCAAACTTTGCTAAAAAAAACCTGCACGTGTTCTCAAAGAGTTGGCCAAGAACCTACCGGATACCGCAGCATGATATCTCTTTCCATCCTAAAAATAACGAGATTTGAATTTGGGTAAAAGTTTCCATGTTGTAAAGATACTTTCCACCAGTTTATTTCAACAGTTTCTTATGTATTCATACAATGTTTTGCCTTTTATTACTACTAGTTGATTGGTATTTCATGTCAAGGATTTTTACAATATGCCAAAATGATTCATTCTTCTGAGCTCTTCCCTATGGGTCTACCGCATTTTGAATATGGCCCGAGAAATTAACTGCGCACTAGCAATCTTATCCTTCATAAGAACTTTTTACATGAAGATTGCACTTTCTCGGGTATAATTCTGAGGCGGTGCCAGTGTCGAGTAAAAAAATTAACAGTCATTTCTGTTGTCCTCTGGATGAATTGACCGAGTGTCCGCCAGCGTGTTGTGTGTTTTTCCACCCACACGTCGAGGCGTAAATGCAGGTTATACCCGAACACAGCCAAACAAAAAATAATACCTACTAATTGCGAGGTCAAGTGTCAACACGCCGCCATGGCGCAGAGCCAGCGCCAAAAATTATGGCCCGACGTTTTCGTAAGCGCCTCAGCGATCAATGACTCACGTGTTTTATAATGCCGACGTACAGTTAGCCTAAAAGTTTTGCATACCGGTGTCGAGTTCCATTACGTTTACCTCTGGAATTTGAGATTGAAACCACGTATGAGCCGTCTAAATGCAAACCGCGCCGAGAAAAACGCGGAAAACTGTTTTGCGTTATACTATCCACTAGAAGGATTGAGTCTGTTTCTACGGGTTTTGGCGACTAAGGCGAATACAATATACATAATCATGGTTATAGCTTGGTAATGGAACGTTTTAAAATCTTACCTCTATTTAAGAGAAGGGTATTATCTGATTTGTGCTTTATTCACCGAATCTTAACCCTACAGCGGTAGCCGCGGGTCACTCTGACCCGCACATATTTTCTACGCCCTACCTCTCCCGTATTAGTTAAGATACATCGCTCGCCTCTTAGGTACCTTCCTATAAACTACATATCTACAAAACTCAGTACATGTTGCTTTGTTTACATTGAGCTGTCTACTTGAACGGAGCTCTTGCGGGTCACCGTGACACGCAGCGACTGTTTTCGGTGTCATATTATACTAAGTGACATATAAATCCGAACACCCAGTTTAAATGGTTTTATTTTAATAAAATTTTGTATAAGTACTTAATGAAGCATAATTAGTAAATGATAAAAATTTCAAAATGATTGCACTGCTTTAAAGCCCTTTGACCTTTAATAATGTGTGGATGCACCCTGATGTGCTACGCATTCTCCAACGCGCCTAGGCATGCTTCTGATCAGGTGGTCAATGTCCTCCTGTGGTATCTCATTCGAGGCAACCACCAACTCCTCTCGAAGTGCTTCTAGAGTCTGAGGAGGACGTTGCAAATTGAGCAATCTCCTACCCATCATATCCCACACGTGCTCAATTGGGGATAAGTCGGGAGATCTTGGTGGCCATGGTAACAATGTGACATCATTATGTTGAAACAAGTCTATTGTGACTCTTGCAACATGTGGTCGGGCATTATCTTGTTGGAAAGTTGGATCTGCCAGGGTGTCAAGATAGGCTAAAAGATGGGGTTCTAGAACTTCGTGGATATAACGCTGCGCGTTCATGTTACCTCTGATGAAGATTAAAGGTGACCTGGAACCATAAGCTATAGCACCCCAAACCATAACTCCAACAGTGTGATGAACATGTCTTTCAACAAAAAACTGTGGATTCCTCCTTTCACCACGTCGCCTTCTAACCCTGGCACGACCATCGTGCATGCCTAAACAAAATCGAGACTCGTCACTAAAGACAATACTGTTCCATTCCTGATCCCAGAGTGACCGTTGTCTGCACCACTCAAGGCGATTACGTCGGTGTTCTCGTGTTAAAGGGAGGACCCAGTGTGGCCGGTATGAAAACAAGCCAAAACTTCTCATTCGTCGGTAAACACTTCGCATGCCAATAGGTCTTCCGTGTTCTGCAAACCATTCATTTGCAATGGACCTGGTAGTGAAGAAAGGGTCCCTTAAGGCCAATAATCTTAGGCGGCGATCTCCACGGTCTGTTGTTCTGCGGCGGCGTCCAGTGCCCCTTGCTCTTTGCGTACGGCCTTCTCGAAGCCATGCCTGACAACACCTAACCACAGTGTCTACACTTCTTTGCACTCTAACTGCAATTGCCCGAAAAGAAAGTCCAGCTTCCCGAAGTCCCACTATACGGCCCCTATCAAACTCACTAAGTTGACGAAATCGTACAGGTATCCATACTCTAGGCATCGTAACCCATCGTAAAGGATGTCAAGAACCAAAATCCGCCAACGTAAATTCTTTACTGCGGCTGAAATATTCATTTTTAGGGCGTTAGTGAATTAAAAAAAAAGTAGTATAAAAACCGGAATGTCCAACTGATAAGGCTGAAAATTTTTTCACTTGTTATTTACAGCAAGATAAATACATTCACCAACTTTTATTAAAATAAAACCATTTAAACTGGGTGTTCGGATTTATATGTCACTTAGTATATTTTGCGACTATTTTTGGTTCTATTGTTTATTACCGGCATTTTGGTGTCTAAGTAAGTATAATAATTCCATTTTTGCAATTTTTTTTTAGTAAGGTTAATTCGGTAAATATTTCAAGCACTAAAGGATGTTTACACACAGTTTTTTGCGACAGTTTACTTGTGCAGTTTAGAACGTAAAAATAAAGTGATAGCGTGGTTTATGAATGAAAAAACTGTTGCAGATTTTCTGTTCCTATGCTACTCATACGTTATTTCCTACAGAAATAAAACATTAGGAAAAACTGTCCGTGTGAATATGCCTTTACTTATTTCGTCAAGCTTTCTACAGTTTCTACTGTTTTGGCAGCGATAATATCATTTAATATTTTTGTTTTAGCTGTTCTAATTAGAATTTGGAAATGGACATGCCGGGAATAAGCAATTTTCATCCTAATCAATGTAAAAATTTCTATGGTGTGGATACCGAGGAAGAACTGGGAGGGAACGAGAGTGACCTTGGAAGCAATGTAGATCCGGAAGAAGAGATTAGAGATGATGGCGAAAGAGATACCGATACTGAGCAGAGTGATGATGAAAATGGGGATGATCCTGCAAGTGATAGTTCTACTTCTGAAGACGACATTCCATTGCTCTATCGAGGATCTTATAACGGCAAAGACAAAACTAAGTGAAAGAAGGCTGAGCCAACACAGTCAATTCGGACGAGACGTCAAAATATTGTTACACATTTACCAGGTATCAAAGGCGCTGCTAGACAAGCTGATACGCCACTGAAAGCTTGGCAGTGCTTTTTTGCTCACGAATTGTTGCTAAAAATTGTTGAATATACAAATATTTATATTGATATTATAAGAGATAAATACAAACGTGAAAGAGACGCTAAAAACACAAATTTGGAAGAGATAAAAGCTCTATTTGGACTATTGTACTATGCAGGTGTATTGAAATCATCTCATTTGCACACCGATGAATTATGGAGTGACGATGGAACTGGTGTTCAAATTTTTAGATGCGTGATGTCCCAGCAGCGATTTAGATTTTTACTTAGAGCTCTTCGATTCGGTGACAAAAGGGATCGTGCAGCTAGAATTGCAGTAGATAAATTAGCCCCACTACGAGAAGTGTTTGATTATATTGTTTTAAAATGCAGAAAAAATTCTTCAGTGGCTGAATATACTACTATAGACGAAATGTTATGGGGTTTCCGAGGGCGTTGCTCTTTTCGCCAATATATGCGAAATAAACCAGCGAAATATGGTTTAGAAGTTTTTTCGCTTGTTGATGCTCGAACTTTTTATGTGCTGAATATGGAGTTTTATTTGGGTAAACAACCCCCAGGACCTCACGAAATAAGCCAAGCCCCTGATGAAGTTATCAAGAGACTAAAAACGCCAATAAGCGGAAGTGGACGAAATGTTACTCATGATAATTGTTTTACCAGTGTTCCACTTAGTGACCACCTGTTGCAGCAACATAACTTCACAACTGTAGGAACCATCAGAAAAAATAAACCTCAGCTCCCTGCTTGCTTTATAAAAAGCAAAGATCGTGAGGTAAGCTTGTCTGTTTTTGGTTTTGGAAAAAATAGTACAACGCTGGTATCATATGTACCAAAAAGGGCAAGTTTGTTGTTCTGTTATCGACTATTCACCATGGTAAAACAATTGATCCTGATAGAGAGATATGTGTGGCACATACTCAACAGCCAGGAAAACCAACAGATGGCCCCTTTCAGCCTTTTTTCATCTTCTGGATGTGGTTGGGGTCAATAGTTTTGGCATATCAACGTACAATGAAAAAGGGGATCACCGCTTGATGAGAAGAACTTGGCTCAAAGAGTTAGCCAAGGAACTTGTTTTTCCTTACATGCGATCTCGACTGCAAATTGCAAATCTTCCCAAGTTTATCAGGACCAACATTATAGAAATTCTCCAGGAAGGTGAACCTGCTGCTGCTGAAGAGGAGCAAGCAGAACAAGATTCAAGAAAAAGGAAGAGATGTAAATTATGTGCGAGAACTGGTAACAAATCTTATCACACTTGTGCGATTTGCAAAATATACATCTGTGGAAATCATGGCAAACTTACATGCCTGAATTGTCTGGAAAATACTCCTTAGAAATGGGCACGCAATAAATACAGTTTATAAATGGTTTCAGAGATATTTTTTGTTATATATTTTAATTTAGTATTAGCAGAAAAACTAGATTTATGTTTTTCATTATTTAAAGTAGGATTTTTTTTAGAAATAAAAATTAATCGACTAATGCAAAAAACAAAACTTTTTTTAGTTATTTTTTTGAAAGATACCTAACTTTTAGGTTTTAAGGTTTTTTTATACCAATGTTAGATTATATGCTTTAGTTACCTTCGCAAATAAAATATTTAAAAAAATAATCACGAAATTTTATTGTTTATACTAAATTTATAGAGCCTAACATTAGAGGGTCACTATGACCCGCAGCGACCTGATTAATATACTTTGGGGGTGCGACCGCTGTCGGGTTTTAAACAATCAAATTTATTGTTTTTACCTTTTGTCTAAAATCAATATATATGTACCAAAAAGGGTAAACCAGAGGCACTGTACGTACTTCAATATCCCGTTTAGCAGAACAAATGTTGGATTAAACTCTCCGCTAATACGAATGCAAAGAAATCTCAATACCTGTGGTGCATTTTCTGATATTTTTGTTGGCCAATTCTTATAATTTACATACCTATTAAAGAACAGGATGTTGGCTACCCCCTTGTGAACGACGACTGTTCTTTAACTTTCTTCTTTGTATCCTTATTGCTAAGTTGTTTCAGATGCATTTATATGGTTTTATAACAGTGCTTATAACTTGGTATTCTTTGTAAGCTATGTTGTAGATGTCTTTTTTGGAGAATTTCTCTGTTTCACATCCCGAAATTCTTAAATAAATAAATAAATAAATAAAAATGAATTTACTTTAATATCTTGTTGATGTAGATACTGCACTGTCAAATAAGAAAAATAAAATACAGTAGGCGGGGTTTGAAGGTAAATGTAAATGGCGGGCTTTGCACAAAAAAGTGAATCGGTGAGTGTAATAACGATATAAATCCAAAAACGCAAATTTGAGATAATCACAAAAAAGTGTTTTGTTTGAAAACTATATGATATACAAGAAGTATATACATTGCAAGTTTGTAGACAATTAAGTTCTCTGAACGAATGTAATGAAAATTATCAATTATTCTTTGTAATAAATTACATACACGCCACTAGGAGTTATACGGTTTTTGCACCCAACTTTGAAAATGCATCAAATTATTAATTTAATTAGTAAATAAAACTACAAATTAGTAGGCTCCTTATTATCTGATATATGGGTGTACCTTAATGATATGCAAATATTTAATGGTGTGAATTTACATGGAAAATTAATGTTAGTTTGCTTTATAAACCTTGTCCAAAAATATTTCCTTAAAAAACTCGGGGTGTTGAAGCTTTAGGAAAAAATGAAAATTCATTAATATTTTCAGGACCTTACGTAGTGAAAGTTAATAAATTTGCATTTTTTTGCGTGCGGGTATTGACTCCGATATTTTTTAAGAAAAAAATGGACGTCAATGGTTTTTGGCCAATTAAAAATTATTTTTGAAATCCTCGTTCAATTTAAAACAGATATTCTATCTTGAATCGTTTTCCTTGGATTGGTCATTACTGAAAAAAAATGAAAACCGTTCTATTGTCGAACTTGCAAAATTATTATTATTATAATTGGAAAAATTAAACACATTAGGGGTAATGAACAACAACAACTGACAACATAAACATAACATTGAAATCAATGAAATGATTACAAAAATTGTTGAAAATGGTGCCCTTCACTTAGTATGCATGCTTCCGTGCTCCTTCTCATAGAATTGCGCACTCCTTGAAATATCCCTGAAGTGTTTTTTTATTCTATCACAAGCTGCAACTATTCTTTCTCTTAATTTCTCTACAGTGCTAATGGGACTTAAGTACACTAGTGTCTTAGGATAGCCCCACAAAAATAAATCTAAACTGTTGAGGTCTGGGGACCTTGGTGGCTATTTTTAGGGCCCACCGCGGCCAATAAAACGACTCAACACCCCGAGTTTTTGTAATTAAACAATTTTTGGTTTATAAAGCAAACTAACATTAATTTTTAATGTAGAACACCCTCAAATATTCGCATATCATTAAGGAACACTCTGTATACGATCATACTTTCTTATCACTCTCTTAAGTCACCCGAAGTCCCTGTCGCATGGTAAAAAAGACTGACCTCGCATTGGGAAGTAGTGATAAATTTGGCGAAATCGTATTGAAGCTCCAAGTGCTAATAAATATCTTATTACAGTCTATTCCGGTTTATTCCGTATCAGAACTTTCACCGCTAGACATTTTAAATACGTAAAATACAAGAGGAAACGAAAAAATGTTATCATAACCTGCAAACAGTGTACGATCGATCTGAATGCTTACTGATGAGTGGAAAATAATTATAAAATCAGGAGTTATATCGTTATTCCAGTCAGTGACAAATCTGACCCCTTCGTAGCGAATATCGTACGCTTTTTCCGCTCAGTAGAAGGATCCTATGTTAAAGAACATTTTGGTCATCTTGGTTTAAAATTTCATTTTTGGGAGTTACATCGTTTTACCACTCACCGTTCCAAGTGTTTTCAACCACGATGATCAGAATGCCAAGAAATGGCATGAAACCCTGTGAATCGAAACACACGGTCACGAGACCAAAATACGACTTCCATATTGGTCACACGTACTTGGCGATTTTTGCAAACGAACAAATCTGCAGTTGGCGATGTATTGAAAGTAAACTGAGTTTTTGATGCTCGATGGTAATGTAAATGTTGGGTTTTGGGAAATAATATCTTGACATAATGCAGATATCATCGTTTCCTGTCGAATGGTAGTGCTACCTAAATTTTTATTATTTTTGCATTTGGCGGGGTTTGCAGTTAGACAGCTCATATCTAGGCTTAGGTTCTAGGTAGTTTTTTCCAAAGAACAAAAAAGTGACAGTGACAATACGGTCCAAGTTAATTTAATTTGTTTAATTCTGTCCTTAACACGTGTTTATTATCTTGGCCTGTCTGTATATACAGGGTGGCGCATCAAAAATGGAACAGACGCATTTACTGGCAGCTCAGTTTTTTTGCCCCGTCGATTTAGTTTTCGAGGGGGACACAAGTTTGGCGAAAAATCACGTTAACCCGTGCAGCCCCCTGGGCGGGGGTGACACCAACCATAAAATCTGAAATGGAAAGAGGGATCGAGTGATACCTTACTTTAAAGGTCTTTCAATTCCCTTTATAATGATGTAAAATACATGAGCTTCTGTTCAGTAGTTTTGAAGATTTATTGAGTTAAAGCTTAAACTAGACTTTAATAGGTACATCAGATTAGTTTGTACTTCTTTCAGAAGAAAGTTGACTAAAAGAATTTACTTAATAAGTAAATGCTTTTCTTCACTACGCCCATGGTTTGTTTATCAGTTTTTTGTTGAAAATAGCTATTGGAGCGTTTTTTTGTGGCAAAAAAGTTATTTCTTGAAGAAAGATAAGGAAATATCTCGCACTTGTTTTGAATAGGAATTTAGTACATAATTTGCGATTGATTTGACCAAACTTTGTTGCTAAAATAACTTGTAAGGCTTTATTACATAAATTAACCATGGTATATTCCACAGCAGAAACAGTTGAAATTATCGAAATATTTTTCGGAAATAATCAGTGCGCTAATAGAAGAGCAGACATATTTAATGAGCGACATAAGAACAGTAGCGTCCATCGAAAATATGTTCTAGAACTTTTAGCTAAATTTCGGGAAACTGGGTCAGTCGCCAATTAAAAACGCAACATTGAAAATCCCATAAGGAACGAAGCAATAGAAGTGGGGGTTTTAGGGCAAGTTTATGTAGATCCTATGTTAAGTACCCGCAAATTGGAGACTGTGTGTGGTGTTAGTCGACGTACTGTCCAACGGATTCTAAAGGCCCATAGTTTTCATCCGTATAAAATTCACCTGCTACAAGAACTTAATGAAGACGATTTTGGTCGGCGATTACAATTTTGTGAAGATATGAGTGAACAAATTATAAACGACGAACATTCAACACTTGCTGTTCCGACGAATCTTCCTTTTTCTTAAATGGAGTAGTAAATTTCCAATTTTCTGGGAAGGTGCCGGATTCATAAGATATCTGGAAGAGACGCGAAAGAACTGGAGCAAGCTCCGCTGCACATCTCTTCAGTACAATGGCAGGAATCAAGTCCGGACCAGAAGCTTTGTTGGTGTTGAACGACAAGAGCACTCGTCTTACGGTCTTATGCCTGAATGTTACCTCCCGCATAGTGTGGGGAACCCTTTGAATCGACGGCACTTGGGCGTTGGTGGGGACGTCCATGGTGGAGCCGGCAGCAAAGATCCTGGCTAGCACCTCCGCCTTGGCCTTCGAGTCGAATACAATAGTTCCATCCTGACACGTAAGTGGTGGAAGGCTACTGTGTGAGAAGTTCTTTTCAATCTGCTTGGCCAGCGTCCAGAAAGACCGACTGCCATTGCGCTGCGACATTACCCTGTACCTAACTTTTATATCATGCTGGTTTTTGGCATTGCGAACCGCTTCGTTATATTTGTTTCTGGACTCGACGTCGGCTTGTCTGTTCTCTACAGTGGGGTTTTGCAAGTAGGTTCTGTGGGCCTTGATCTTCTGCTGGCGAGCAGTGTCACACGATTTGTTGAACCAGCCGTTGGACCCTGGTTTAGGAACCTTCACTGTGTGAGGGATGTTTTCCTCCATTCCGACGTGGATAATTTCGGTTATTGAAGAACAGACAGTCGACGCATCCGCGTCAGCGAAACAGACATCTCCCCAAGGAAAGCGAGAGAAGAAGTCTCTGAGCCCCTCCCAGTCGGCATGTCCGTAATGCCAAGTTTTGCGGCCTGTGCGAGTTTCTGCTGCCACAGCGGCTTCTGACCGAAACCTAACCTCCACAACACCGTGATCTGAGATACCCAGGGGGGACAGGACAGCAGTGCTGTAAGGGGCAGGATGCGTGGTCAGAAAGAGATCCAGCAGGCTACTGGCGTGTGACGAG